GCCCACCCCTGCCCTAAAGTTTGAGCTTGAAAGGGAAAAAATATTGCAGCGCTTACCTTAAAGGAGAACTATGGGGTGAGTGCTTGAGACTGTCACAGGTCGGCTCAGTAGAACGGGAGGTGAGCGAACACATACCGATGTTCGCTCACCTCTTGATCCTGTTACGGCTCTCTGCCATGACAGGGGAGGGGCTGGATTCCCCCCGCTCCCATCCGCCAGCGCTGACTGGAGGAACAAACGGAGGAGGGGCGGGGACAGCTGGCTCTGCCTATCTAGAGGCAGAGCCAGCTGTACCCGCCCCTCCTCCGTTTGTTCCTCCAGTCAGCGCTGGCGGATGGGAGCGGGGGGAATCCAGCCCCTCCCCTGTCATGGCAGAGAGCCGTAACAGGATCAAGAGGTGAGCGAACATCGGTATGTGTTCGCTCACCTCCCGTTCTACTGAGCCGACCTGTGACAGTCTCAAGCACTCACCCCATAGTTCTCCTTTAAGGCCTGGTTCACCCCTCTGCGTTTTTGAGCAGTTGGGAACAAGCAATCCCATGACGTTCAATGGTCCTCGTTCACACCCAGGCCCGGATTTCCCACAAGGCCACCGAGGCCCGGCCTCGGGGCGGCAGAGCGCAGAGGGCGGCAGCGGTGACCTTGTTGGAAGTTGCGGGCTCCGGTGTAAGGTGTCCGCCGGCCGCAAACTACGGAGCCGGGGGGCGGAGTCTAGCCCCGCCCCAAGGCCAGGTTCCACAATACGCGCGCCCCCCCGCCATCTGGTTGCCATTTTCAATTGATGGGGAGGGGGGGTTGGCGGCTGGGGCGTATTGTGGAACCTGGCCTTGGGGCGGCAGGGGGAGTAAATCCGGCCCTGTTCACACCTGAGCAGAAGAAACGCCAGCAGGAAAATGCCAAACGCCCGAAAAGGTACATGAGCTTCTTTGGGCAGTTCAAAGCGCGTTTTGTGCCCCATAGACTGCAATGAAAACGCGCGGCAGAAGCATGTTGCACATTTTCGTGTGTGTTTTTGCGTGTTGAACCACTTGCGGCAGTGCGGCTTACACATCCTTTGCAGAAGACGTGTATCCAAACCTCTGTCATTGTCCTTAGTGGTGAGACAAGTTGTTTTACATGCTAGTTTGTGAGTGTGCCATGATGCCTTTCTACTGTTCTATTGAACCACTTGCTGCCCGGAACAATTTCTTACCTTTGCGCACACATGATAAAATCTGAATTTTTGGCTAGAAAACAACTCCAGACCCCCCCAAAACAATGATATATTTTCTGAACGCAGAAGCCCTGCAGAACAAAAAGATGCTAGTTGAAATTTTTTATGTTGCACGTTATTTGCGCAAATGTTTATCAAACCAGTATTTTTAGGATAATATACACTAAAATTAAATTTAGTGCACAGAAACAGAATGTAATACCCAATTTTTTGGTAAAATATAAAAGTCGGGGTCACGCTGCGTAAATAGATATCAAACATGTCAAGCCTTAACATTGCATGCGCCCGTGTAACCGCAAAAAACTAACAGACCCAAAATTTCCCACTGGCGACGCTTTAAAGGAGAACTACGAGGTGAGTGCTTTTCACTCACCTCATGGTTCTAGCCGACCTGTGACAATGAGACTGTCACAGGTCGGCTCAGTAGATCGGGAGGTGAGCGAACACATACCGGGTTCGCTCACCTCTCGATCCTGTCACGGCTCTCTGCCGTGACAGGGGGAGGGGCTGGATTCCCCTCTCCCCGCTCCGATCTGCCAGCGCTGACTGGCGGAACGGACGGGGGAGGGGGCGGGTACAGCTGGCTCTGCCTCTAGATAGGCAGAGCCAGCTGTCACTCACGCAGCTGGGCGGATCCCGTCATCTACGTCGGGATCCGCTTCGGCTGCGGCGTCTCAGTATACCGCGAGCTGTAGCTCGCTATATACTGAGCTTAGGGTGACAGGAGGACGCTAGTTTGTGTCCTCCCGTTACCCTAAGGAGAACTATGGGGAAAAACACTGACCCCATAGTTCTCCTTTAACCACTTTTACGGTTCATCAGTTTAGCGCTAAGGCCCCATTCACACTGAGCGACACTTACCTCAAGCTGATTTTTTTTTTTTTTTGCCCCTAGTCCTAGCGGGGGATAGAACGACTGCAAGGGTTAATAAAGTTTTCCTGGAGTTCTCCTTTAAGTGTGACCGGGCCCTAAAGGACACGTAAACCCAATAACGGAAATGTCATATATTGCAGCTTACCCGCCTTAGATGTGGTGGTCGCATTCGTTTTCTTTTTTTGTAGGAAAAACATTTTCAGCAAGTGCAGAAAATTCCTGCTGATCCTGCTAGAAATCCAGCGTCCTTGATGAAATGAAAAAACAAACAACATTATCTTCCTTTCAAGCCGACTATTATGAACTACTAATTCCCTTCCCCCTATGTACTGGAGATAATGAGAGAATGTCATGATTGTAGTCCAAATCAGGAGAATAGCCGACTATTTTTTTCTCCATAGATACAGTACAGAGAGGGAGCGTTGTCACCCCAGGACAGGAAGTGTGTCACTGGCAGGATCACCAGGTGAAAATAAAGGAGAAAAAGCCTGGAAAGTAAAAAAACGAATGCAGCCGCCATATCTAAGGACTGGAAAGCGGCAACATATTCAATTTTTGGTTTTGTCACAAATCCGGACAAAGTGATCTTACTGGAGTACAGGAAGGCGTACAGTGGCTTCTCCAAAAACCCTCCTGCCATATCCAGTACTGGCTCAATTGTTTATACATGTGGGTGGATATTTTTGGAATCTGTGTCCCATTGAGATTTCTCTTTACTTCCTGTCTGGTAGTCACAACAGGAAGTGAGAGGAAATCCCTCCAAAGTGAGGGGGTCACCTGAGCTAGTGTCCCCGTTGGAAGATTTCCCAGAGCTCTTAGCAACCTGTGTTGCTCTGTACGGCTTTCCACTCAGCTCACTGACGTCACTGGTTGCCAAAAAGTGAGCTTGACACTCTGGCTCACATCCCGCCGAGCTCCTGGCAACCTGTGATGTCAGTGAGCTTGGCGGGATGCCATGGCCGTTGACAGCGCGGTCCCGCTTCTGCTTAGGGTTGCCACCTTTTTTTCAATAAACGATTACTATGGGGACTGCCCTGCCAATGACCCTATGTGGCCACCTGTGTCCTAGCAACCAATGATGCGGTAAAGCCCATCTGCTATCGTCCTAGCAACCAATGGCACTGTGCTCAGGTTGCTAAGACACTGGCGACACAACAGCATGATAGGTTGTTATGCTGCACCAGCCTGCATCCTGGCAACAAATGATGTTGTGTGGCCCAGCCGCTAACACCCTAGCAACAGTGTCATGGGTTGCTAGGATACAGATGCAGGTTCTGTTGGCCAAAATTGGTAACCCAAACTGCGAACAGCTTGGGTTCGGGTCCAACACATGTTGGACCTGAACCCAAAGCTCATCCTTAGGACACAGAGGAGATTTTTAACCTTTCCTTACAATACCCGAACCTAAAAAAAACAAAATGGCTGCACACACATTGAACCCATATTTACATTAATCATCTCACATTCACGTGTTGTGAATAATGAGTGTAAACGTTCTATAGATCTCATTGTTCTCATCTCAGAATTAATGTTGTTGTGTGTTCACTCCTGACCAGATCCAGGATGTAACCGGAGAAATAAAGACGCCTGGCCTGCCCACATCCGTGTCTGGTGACTGCTATAATGTCACGCCATCCTGGGCCCCGGGGTGTCCCCTGCCAAAACAATCCTCCTGAAATTAAATCCTTTGTTTCCGAGAACTCCCAGCAGCTGCCAAAATGTCAGAGACTCCGAATCCAACGTTTAACACTACGAGGACTCCGAGCTCTATTATATAGGGAGACCTGCACCTTAGGGTTGCCACCTGTCCAGGATTCACCCGGACAGTTCGGGTTTTGAATGCTGTGTTCGGGTTTCATGGCACAAGGAACCCGGACACAAGATGTCAGGTAGACAGGGGCAACCAAAATTAAGATAGGGGCTACTGGCCCCCCCAATAAAAATAGTCTCAACTGTGATATTTACATATTAATGATTGGTGCCTTTTACATATGAATAAGCCACAACTCATTCTCCCAAAAAAATAGGTCCGCGTGTCGCTAGAGTGTTTCTTGTTTCGCTTGAAGAAAAGGTGGCAACCCTACTGCACCTCTCAGCTGACATCTAAAGTGTTGTCACCCAGAGACAGAGCGTTGTTGTTACACTGTAATAGGAAGTACATGAATATGGATCCCCATGGCAGGATCATTAGATATTCTTTTAATGGAAGCTGCAGATTTGAGAAAGTTGACTTTAATGGGCACATATAGCAAGCACAAGCAGCACCGTCTGCTGAACGTGACATGCCGGGGATTGCCACCGTGGCAATGTATATGGAACTGAGCGGCTGCCATGTTAATTTGCAAGAAGGCAGTTGGGGGAGCTGACTCCTTTTACAGCCCCATTGCTGCCCCAAAGTAAACCACAGCAAAAAAAAAAGGCTGTGCTGTGTGGCAGAGCTGTGTAAATCTCAGGACTGGGTGGACAGAAGTACAAATCCTTTGGCAATGCAATAGACCAGAGTCCTCCAAGTGTGTGCACCATGAAAGTAAAAGCGGTGCGTCCCTTTAATAAGAGCAGCATGAGAGCTGCTTACAAGGGGCTCTGTACATGGCTGATCTGCAGCTTGGGTGGGGAGGGGGGCTAACTACAAGTCCCAGCATACACTGCCAGCCAACAGGTAACCAAGTACTCTGCCAATGCACCTTATCACTGCACAGCCACCTCTATGGTGAACTACACATCCCAGCATGCACTGCAAGTCACAAGTAACCATGTACTTTTCTGATGTATCTTATCACTGCCCAGCAACCCTTCAGAGAAGTAGTACAAGTCCCAGCAGAGCCACAGGACCACTACTGCTGACTCCCAGAAATTCTACAGGACTGCAGGTTAGACAGGCACTGTGCGGGGCAGCCCCGGTGACGTCACGGCTCCCCGGCATGCAGCGCGGCTCAGGACCCCGGACAGAGGCTGCGGGAGGAGGAGACGGAGTCGGCGGAGAGTGGTAATCACTGAGCGAGCGCACCGAGTGTACTCACCCTCAATATATGGGCATGTATACATCGTGTACACCTCCATACCAACTCGTATATGGGCATGTATACATCATGTACACCTCCATACCTGCTCGTATATGGGCATGTATACATCGTGTACACCCCTATATCACACTTCATCTATATGGGCACTCATTATACCCTATATACCCCATATATGGGCATGTATACACTGCGTATTACCCTATACACTCCATATATGGGCATGTATACACTGCGTATTACCCTATACACTCCATATATGGGCATGTATACACTGCGTATTACCCTATACACTCCATATATGGGCATGTATACATGGCATGTTACCCTATACACTCCCTATATGGACATATATACATTGTGTACACCTCCATACTACCTCGTATAGTAATGTATACATTGTGTACACCCCTATATCACACTTCACATATATGGACATTCATTCGGCCATGCACCCCCATGTTACCATATACACTCCATATATGGCAATATACACAAAGCATGTTACCCTGGACACTTCATATATGAGCATATATACACTGGATATTACCCTTGGCACTTCGTGTATGGGTGTGTATACTTTGTGTACCCCCCCATATCACCGTATGCAACCCTACATGGACATGTAGACTGCCATATCGCCCTATATGCTCTATATATGGGCATGTATACATAATGTACACACCCATATCACCTTGTACGCTCTGTATATGGGCATATGTAGATGGCGTGCACCACCATATCGCCCTATAAGCCCCATTTATGGACTCTATATCATCCTGTACACTCCATATTTGAGCTTGTATACATTGTGTACACTCCATTTCATCCTGTACGCTCCATATATGGTCCTGTATGCACCCAATCTTACATTATAGATTCCAGATATGGGGCTGTGTACACCTTATATCATCCTATAGACTCCACGTACAGTCCTGTGTACACCTTATATCATCCTATAGACTCCACGTACAGTCCTGTGTACACCTTATATCATCCTATAGTCTCCATGTACAGTCCTGTGTACACCTTATATCATCCTATAGACTCCATGTACAGTCCTGTGTAACCTTATATCATCCTATAGTCTCCACGTACAATCCTGTGTAACCTTATATCATCCTATAGACTCCACGTACAGTCCTGTGTACACCTTATCATCCTATAGACTCCATGTACAGTCCTGTGTAACCTTATATCATCCTATAGTCTCCATGTACA